ACAAATGCCCCTCTACTCGTTATGAAGAAGGGGTTTACCTGTTGAGAGTGAAAGGAACAGGGAGAATGAAGGCGGCTTCCAGAAAGGGACCCTGTGGGAGAACAACAGTGGCACCAAGGACCCCATGGGGCTGGAAACCGTAACTGCGCAGACGAATCAGTCAGCAGGCTTTGTAATTTCCTGCAGGAGTGCTCAGCAGCCCTGAGCAGTGAGTGGAGGAAACCAATCTGGGCTAATCTAGGACTGAATTGGTCAGAGGAGAAGCAGCGATCACCAGGGAGGTGAGGATGGTGGTGAGAGTGTACTTGAAGTGACTGGTCGTAGAATCTGCCCTGGGGAGAAGAAGTGAAAGGGGAGCTGATGATAAACTGAGGACAAAGAGGAAGGAGAAGAGAACTTGACGCCACTGGACGTGTTTAGCAGGAATGGAGGAGTGTGGAAATTGGGGGTTAAGCAGAGAGTCGAGTTTCAGAGTTCAGGATTTCAAGGGCAGGGCAATTCGCAGCAGTAAGTTCCAGGACAGAGCCTTACTGTGCGGCATTGTTGTAGCAGCATGGGGTGGGGGATGGTCAAGAACTGGGAGGCTTGACTGTCTTCATCATGGATCCTGAAGTCATTCCAGAAAAGTGGTAGATGTTGAAATGCTGAGGGCATTTACTATTTACTATTCTGCCCAGATTCATAAAACTTGAAAAATTGATGTGTGCCTTCAATGAAATCAATGACAAAAATTTATTTATTTATTTTTAATCCTCACCTGAGGACATTTTTCCGTTTATCTTCAGATAGAGTGGGAGGGAGGGAGAGAAAGAGAGAGATCTCTGCGAGAGAGACACATCGACTGACTGCCTCCTGAACGACCCGCCAGGGCTGGGGACGAACCGCAACCGAGGCACGTGCCCTTGACTGGAATCGAACCCACAACCCTTTGGTCCACAGGCTGTCGCTCTAACCACTGAGAAAAACTGGCCAGGGCCAATGACAAAAATTTTTAATCAAAGAATGTTCTTTGTCATGTCGCTGCTATGTCTGCATGCTGACAGAGACCTATTAAATGGCATCCGACAGAGAGATCAGATTCACAGCTGAGTGGGGTCCTCTTTCCTTCCTCTGTTCCTTCGTTCCTCCCCTCCTTCTCCTTTCTCTCTCTCTCTCTCTCTCTCTCTCTCTCTCTCTCTCTCTCTTCCTTTCAGAAAGGGAGAGAGAAACACTGATCCATTGCCTCCCATAGGCTCCCTGACTGGGAATCGGACCGCCACCTTCTGGTGAATGGAACCACACTCCAAACAACGGAGCCACACTGTCTAGGGCAGGGGTTCTTCTTATCCACAGGTTGAGGGTTACAATGACTAGTTCTTCTCCCCTCCCTTTAGTCTAATCTGGGAGCCAACCACTAAACTAAGTCTCAGTGTGTGTCTCCTCTTTGACCTGAAGCTGTCTGTACTTCCCACCCAAGGGGAAGGCAAGACTGTTCTTCTACGAATGCCTACTGCTGGTTCCGAAGTAACTGATTTGAAAGTAGATGCTCAGGAGGACCAGCCACATCCCCACTGCCCCCACAAAGATGCTATCTTCAAAGAGGCCTGTAGTGAGAGCCTCGGTCCTGAGTAGCTCTGCTGGGTGGTTTTAAATTTACTAGAGCTACTCCTGTAACCAATGAAATACCATATGCTTTTTGCAAGAGGCTGTTTCTCTGTGGGGACTGAACCAGAAGTTTTATTTTTCTCCTTCTCCTCCTTTTCCTCCTCCTCCTCCATCTCTTCCTTTTAGCCTCATAATCTTTTTTCAAATTAAAACTTGTATGAAATACATATATGTAAAATAGGGAATATCAGAGTTCCTTTGTTTAGGGGCAGGGTGGGGATCCATGAGCCAGTTCACTCACTCTCTTTTTCTCTACCCCCAAACCAACTCCCCACCCCCCGCCCACCAACCCAGTCTCCACCCCAGGCACCTAAAGTAACTTCTTAAGGGCTCCTTGTAGCAGCTGTTGGGTGGAGGGACTACTGCATTGTATTGCCTTTCAGCACTATTATAATGAATCTACTATTCAGTGAAGACAAGATGTAACAGGTTCAGCAAATTAAAATATTGACTATATTAATAAATATATCTTGAACATGACCCTAATTCTTGATCTGTTTCCAACAATAGCTAGGACAGCACAGTTGGGCCATGATCAGATTCCCACCAAGCCCACAGGAAGGGTGTAGCTAACAGAAAGTTGAATGGATGGTTACCAGCGGCTTAGGTGGGGAAGGGAAGTTATTGTTTAATAGGTATAGAGTTTCAGTTTTGCAAGATAAAAAGTGTATGGATGGTGGTAATGAAAGTATCAATGTGAATGTACTTAATGCTATTGAACACTTAAAAATAGTATATATGGTGCCCTGGCCAGTGTGGCTCAGTTGGTTGGAACATCGACCCATAAACAAAAAAGGTCAGGGCACATACCCAGGTTGTGGGTTTGGTCCCTGGTGAGGGCATGTGTGGGAGGTAACCAATTGATGTTTCTCTCTCACATCAATAATTTTCTCTCTTTCTCCCTCCCCTCCTCTAAGATCAATAAAAATAATAAGTAAATAAATAAATAAAAATAGTTAAGATGGTAAATTTTATATTGTGTATTTTATCATATATTTTTAAAAGTCATGGTTCCTTGAATATCATTCAGCCATTAAAAATAATTGTTATTCTATTTCATAACAACATGGATAAAAAGTCTGATAGTAAAATTTTTTAATCCAAGGCAAAAATATTGAATAATATCATATATATATTCATACAGTTGGGCAGAAGACCTGAATAGACATTTTCCTAAAGAAGACAGATAGATACCCAACAGGTACAATGAAAAGATGCTCAGCATCATTAATCATCGGGGAAATACAAATTAAAATCACAATGAGATAGCTCACACTTAGTAAACTAGATATTATCAAAAAGACAATAAACAGCAAGTTTTGGTAAGGATGTGGAGAAAAGGCAACCCCTGTGCACTGTTGGTAGAAATGTAAATCGGCATAGCCAATATGGAAAAAAGTATGGAAGTTCATCACAAATTAATAATATAACTACCATGTGATTCAGCAATCCCACTTGTGGGTATTCATCTGAAGAAAACAAAAACACTAACTCAAAAAGATATTTACTCCCATGTTCACTGCAGCATGATTTACAATAGCGAAGATGTGGAAACAACCTAAGTGTCCGTCAATACATAAATAGATAAAGAAAATGTGATACATATGACATATATGTATGATATATGATATACACACACTGGAATATTATTCATCTATAAAAAGAAGGAATTCTTGCCATTTGTGACAACATGGATGGACCTTGAAGTCATTATGCTAAGTGAAATAAGTCAAATACAGAAAAATAGAGAAAGACAAATACCATATAATCTCACCTATATGTGGAATCTAAAACAAAAAACAAACAAGAAAAACCAAGTTCATAGACACAGAGAACTTACTGGTGGTTACAAGAGGTGTGGGAGACAAAATGGGTGAAGGTGGTCAAAAGGTACAAACTTCCAGGTATAAAATAAATAAGTCATGGGAAGGTAATGGACAGCGGTGACTATGGTTGATAATAATATTGTATATCTGAAAGTTGCTAAGAGAGTCAAGTCCTCCTTACAGGAAAAGAACATTTTTGTAGCTATGTACGTGATGGATATTAACTAGACTTATTGTGGTGATCATTTCACAATATATACAAATATGAAATCATTATGCTATATACCTGAAACTAATATAATGCTACATGTCAATTATTTCACAGCAAAAAAAATTCTACAGTCATGTGATTGTAATTATTTACAACAAACCTATAGAAATGGGAAGACTAGCAAGAAATACACCGAAGTGTTAACAGAGGATGTGATATGTACATTTCCCCCACTCTCTTCTATCTTGTAAAATGTTTCATACAGGTCAAAGCTTTTAAATTAAAAAAAGATTTCTAATATTTAAAAATGTTTAAAGCAAAGCAGATTCCCTCCTAACTATAGGGGTTTCTTCACATCACTTCATGTGCCTAGTAGACACACAGAGAAATTATACACTAAAGAGTTACTGGTTTGTTTGTTTGTTTTCATTTATTTACATATATTTATTGAGTGTTATTTAAGTACAGGGCACTAACCTAGATACTAGAAAAATGGGATGAACAAGAAAAATCTCTGCCCTCACCCAGCCAGTGTGGCTCAGTGGTTGAGCATCGACCCATGCACCAAGAGGTCGCCAGTTTGATTCCTGGTCAGGGCACATACCCAGGTTGCGGGTACAGTCCCCAGTGCTAGGCATGCAGGAGGCAGCCAATCAATGTTCTCTCTCATCGATGTTTCTATCTCTCTAAAATCAATAAGAAAAAAAAAGTCTCTGCCCTCATGGAACTTACTTTCTAGTGGGGAAACACAGCTAATAAACAAACAAAAACCAACATTGATAGTGCTATGCAAAGAACTAAAATACCTATTATATTATAGGTAATATAATGAAAAATAGCATTTTTAGATTGGTAAATCAGGGAAGGCTCAAACGACCTGATATTTGAGCTGATGTCTGAATGATATGGGAAGACAGCTGACAGAGCCAAAGCCAAGGCCCTGAGCAAAAATCAATATGGTCGGTTTGAGGAACTGAAAGCCACTGCGTCTGGGGGACGCTGGGTGAGGGAGTGGTATGAAGTGAAGACACTGCCCTTCCTTCAGGAACTTGTGATGAAATAGAGCTTGGCACAGACTGTTCCTAATACTTCTCTTTTGGCATAAACCTTCAGAGAACTTCATAATATCTACAGAGCAGCAATGTCAACTTTTTAAACAGGATTAAGTCTCCATTTTTTCCCTACAGACTAGTTTCCTCATCTGGAACCGAAGAGATTGCAGGCAATGTTAGCCTCAGAGAGAGAGCAACTATTAATGCATATTCCACAGAACAAGTTCATGCTAAGAAATCCAAATTCTTCCCAAAATCAAGGCTTACTTGTCCTTCCCAAACTCAAATTTCCCAGGTCCAATTCGAAGTAGATAGCCGTTGAGCCACTGAGGAAAATGCCCTCGGACTTGGGCGGGGACCATGTGTGGAGTCTCCTCCACCGTGGCCAGCAGTGGCGCGATGCAGGGAAGGCTCTCCTGCTCACCGAGTATCACTTCTGCTGGGCGACTGCTTTCCATGTACTTCTTCAAAACTAAAAAGGAAATCAAAAGCATACACAATGTTTTATCAATATTCTATTAGCATGCCTATTTCAGGGAAATGGAAACCTAACACCAAATATAATCTCCAAATTCCTTTCTCTCCTTCCTCATTCTCACATCATTCCTTTGATTCTCCATATTTTGACAATGACAATCCTTTTTGTATTCTTTCAGTACAAATCTGCTTGAGAATTTACCTCAGGACTTTAATTTTTATTTTATCATTTTCTAACCCAAGACATGCTAATCGCAACCTCATTGTTAGGATTTTAAAAATGACAACCATTCAATATTATCATAATTACAGCGACCTCAGTACTTTACATACACCAGAATGTGATCCCAAAAATTCCATAGGGATTTATGGAGCATTTAGTAGGATCTACGATTAATTTCTCTATTTTGATGTACACGTGAATGTACATGGCATTTTCTAGAAGAAGGGTGTCACAAACTAAACTATGAAGTGATACCTGGTCTAAAATTACCTGAGGTCCAAAAGCTACAAGAAAAAATCATTATTGCCCTGGCCGGTTTGGCTCAGCCGTTGGAGCGTCGGCCTGCGGTCCGGAGAGACCCAGGTTCGGTTCCCGCTAAGGGCACGTACTTCGGTTGCAGTTTGTCCCCGGCCCTGGTTGGTCGTGCGGGTGGCAGCCACTCGATGTGTCCCTTCACATCGATGTTTCTCTCTCTCTCTCCCTCCCGCTCTATCGGAACAAAAAATGTCCTCGGGTGAGGATTAAAAAAAAAAAAAAAGAAAGAAAAAAAGAAAGAAAAAATCATTATTATATAACAGAGCTGAGAATCGTTCCTATTAGTTCACACTTAGTGTTCACGAGGCAGCGGCCTCGCAGAGGGTGGTCAGGTGCATAACTGACTAGGTGCTAGAAAATGCAGCCTTCATTTTATTTCATGAAACTTTAACAGCGATATAAAAGTCCAAACTAGAACTAACATGTAGAGACACTACTCCTCTGAAGCGAGATTTGTATTCTTTTAGCAAACTATTTTACAGTATGATATCTATTATCCTGTTTCTTTCAAATCTTTCAAAAATTTATTTTAAAGCACATGAGACCTTCTACTTTGCTGCACATACAAATTCAGTCAAAGCCAACTATTTTCTGATTTCCCAAACAAAATTCATTTTTACCCTGAATGCCCTTCCCAATAATCAATCCCAAAGGAAGTTTTATCTATCGTTCAATGTCTACCTCAAATACCACTTTCTTCAAGAGGCAGTATAGTGTAATATTTAAGAGTGTGGGCCCAACCTCTCTCTGCCTGGCTTCAGAACGCTTGGGTTCAAATCTTGGCCTACCATTTTCCAAATAAATAGCCTTGAGCAAGACCACCTCTCTGTGTTGTTCCCTCCTTTCTAAGATGGAGATAATAATTCTTATTGCTCCTAAGTCTATAAATAATAAATTAATTAGGGTATGTAAAGTTTTTAGAAATTGTAAATATTCAAAAAAATGTTAGCTGGTATTCATGTAGCTTTTTTCTTTTTTTAAGCCTCACCCAAGGATATGTTTTTATTGATTTTTAGAGAGAGAGAGAGAGAGATCAGTGTGAGAAAGAAACATCTGCCTCCAGTATGTGCCCCACCCAAACCTGAAACCCAGGTATATGTCCTGACCTGGAATCGAACCTGCAAACTTTTGGTATACAGGACAATGATCCAACCAGCTTAGACACCTAGCCAGGGCTATGAATGTAGATTTTAACGATCAATCCAAAAATATGCAATATCTTCTTTCTTTAAATCATTTATTGCTCTGGCCAGTGTGAATCAATTGGTTGAGCATCGTCCCATACACCAAGAGGTCACCAGTTCAATTCTCAATCAGGGCACATGCCCCGGTTTCAGCCCATCAGTCTCTCTCTCTTCAACATCAATAAAAACATATTTTTTTTAAAAATCATTTATTTATTCAACAAAATGTTGGGCACTCCTGAGGGATAAAAAGTAATAGAACCCTGATGTAAAGGAACTCACCACCTAGTAAACAGACATACAACAAGATCATTTACACTGTAATCAGTTGTTTGAGCATTATTTCTCAAAGTACAGTCTGAGGACTTTGTAACAAATACCTGGTGCTATTGCTAAAATGCAGATTCATGGACTCCACTCTGGACCTAATAAATCAGAATCTCTGGGATAGTATAAGGAGGTATTCTTAGGTACACTAAAATTTGAGAACCACAATATTAGAAGTATAGAGAGGATGCTTTGCAAACTTAAAGGAGGAAACCATCAGGTATTTATCTTACTACTTTTATTAATATTATGTATATTTGTCTTATTCTCCTATTAGATTAAAATAAATTCCCTGAGGTCAGGTATTTTATTCCTCGTATTTAAGTAGAATTAAATGAAACACCCTGATAGGGCATTTGTCTGAATATTCATGCATTTAAAACATTTCACATTTTAGAAAACATTAAATATCTGTATGTTCTGTATTCCATAGCATGCTATTGGTAGTTTATTATATACTCTTCAAACTTTCCATAGTACTTGATATCGTGGCCAACCCCTCCTTAAACCCCTTTCTATTGTTGACTTCCCAGATACTGCTCTTTTCAAATATTCCTGCTCCCTCTTGGTTTGCTTTTATGCCAGCTTCAGTACTTACTGGCTGAAGCTTTGGGGAAGTTACTAATCACTCTGAGCCTCAGGATTTTTGTTTGTTTGTTTTTGGGTTTTTTGTTAATCCTCACCCAAGGATATTTTTCCATTGATTTTTAGATAGAGTGGAAAGAAGGGAGGGAGGGAGGGAGGGAGAGAGAAACATTGATGTGAGAGAGACACATTTATTGGTTGCCTCCCACACAACCCTGACCAGGGCCAGGGATTGAACCTACAACCCAGGTACATGCTCTTTTTTTATTTTTTTATTTTATCCTCACCTGAGGACATTTTTGCATTTATCTTCAGATAGAATGGGAGGGAGAGAGGGTGAAAGAGAGAGAGAGAAGCATCGATGTGAGAGAGACACATTGAGTGGTTGCCACCCATACGATCCCAATCGGGGTGAGGAAAAACTGCAACCGAGGTATGTGCCCTTAGCGGAACTGAACCCGGGCCTCTCTGGTCCATGGGCCAACGCTCTAACCGCTGAGCCAAACCAGCCAGGGCCATGCTCTTAAACAGGAATCAAACCTGTGACCCTTCCCTCTGAGGACCAATGCTCTAACCACTGAGCAAAACCGGCCAGGGCTCAGGTTTTTTTTTGTTGTTTTTTTTTAATCCTCACCCGAGGATATTTTTCCATTTTTTGTACAGATAGAGTGGGAGGGAGAGAGAGGAAGGGAGAGAGAGTGAGAAACATCGACGTGAAGGGACACATCGAGTCGCTGCCACCCGCACGACCAACCAGGGCCGGGGACAAACTGCAACCGAAGTACGTGCCCTTAGCGGGAACCGAACCCGGGTCTCTCCGGACCGCAGGCTGACGCTCTAACCGCTGAGCCAAACCGGCCAGGGCATGGTTTTTTAATGATAAAATGAGGATAACGGGGATAAAAGGAGAATAATACCTCCCATGCATGTCTATCTTTATAACCAAATATAATGATAGTATTAATTTTCAAATGTTAATTCCTTTTATTGGCTCCTCTTCTCCTTACCACCTCATAAATACATTCCTAAGGTCTGATCTTGGACCTTTACTCTTTAATCTCGGCACTCCTCTTTGGTAATCTCAACTAGACCCTTAATTTCACCAATTACTTTTTGTGGGTGACTCAATGTGTCAAAAGAGAATTCATTTTCCCCCTTTCGTATCAATTTTCCCACCTGTTAAATCGCCTAGCTTCAAAATCTCTGTGAGCCTTGAATTATTCTTCACATTCCCTAAGTGGTTAAATTCTGCTGACTGTACCAATAGAGGGCTAGAAAGAGAAGATGCTAAGGAGATGACATAGGGTAACCAGCGTAAATTACTAGGGCTCAGAAGTTTGTAGAGGTGCCTGGAGCAAATCCTTTGCAAAAATTTTATCAGTCCACCCGTCCTGGGCAACCCCACAGATTTGATCAAATCACATATTCCTTCATAAAACCTTCACAAATGACCCTCATTGTCTACCAAGTAAAGTCTAAACTGCTTGGCCAGGCACTGATGAAGGCACTGTATAGTTTCACACAAACCTACCTGTCCAGTTCTGCCTCTTACATACGCCTTCCACTCCAGCCAATCTGGACCTTTCCCCATTGTCTTCTCATCATGACTGTACGCTTCTGTTCACCTAGGGTATTTCCCATATCCTTCTGGTGAAATTCATGACCTTACTCATCCTTCAAGACCCAGTGCCCATGTTCACCTGTTTTATAAACACATTTTTATTTCCTACAGCAAGAACTGATTCTTCTTAGTCTGAACTCACACAGCACCTGTTTTAGCTCTTCTGGCACTTACTGTATTCTGTCTTGTGCAATAAAGATGAATATACTTTATAACCTCTACTACCAGTATTCCTTGAGTACAGGGTTTTACTTTTGCCTTCACCCCAGCACCTAATACATTGCCTAGTGCTGAATTATTGAATTAAATAATTTTAAACTGCATAGTATATATCGGTATGATTTCTCATAGCTCCATATCAGCCAATTTCAAGAAATAAAATTATGTGACAACAGTAGCTATAAATAGAAAGCTACAAAACAATAAACAGATTTTAAGGAAGTCCATCAGAATACAAACAGAAGAACCAAACATTTACATTAGAAGGTACAGCAGTGATTTTCAATTGAGAAAAATCTAAATAGTGAATATTTATCCTATTGCTGATCCAAAAGAATCCCAAAACTCTGAATCTGCCCCTATATGCGGTATGAAATATACAAATGGAATGGCTTTTTCCCTGACAAGTAAACAAACCCTCACTCTGTCTTAACCCCCAGCTCTGCACCTGCTGTATCTGCTCCAAAAGAAGTGGAAACGTTCAGACGACCCCAGTATTCTTTTGAAAAGGCACAGAATTCTAAGTTCAGGCTGGTAGAATGAGGAGGAGGGGGTAAATCCCCTACCTGGGATCCGGTGTACTATCACTGATCTGAAACCCACCGCCATGGTAGAAAGATGGTTGACAAAACGGAGAAAGAGTTGAAAAAACATTTTTGTATTGAGTTAAGTAGCAGCAGATCCTGTGGTTTCCAAATCCTCACACTCATTAGCAGTGAGGTGAAAATATACTTCCTGGGCTGTCCCTGGCTCCCTGACAGAATAGGAGGGAAAGGGGGAGGGGAGGCAGTACTTCAAAACACAAGCGGTCTCTTACTCTCACTTCCATGACAAGTATCCTAGCAACCTATCTATAATAAGTAGCTGTGTGAAATACTGAAATTGGATCACCAGTAGTAGTCTCCCTCCATAAACTCTCCTCTTTTAAATCTGTCCTATAGTACAATTAAGGCAGTTGATCCATGGATGAATTTCGTTATGCCAGTCCTCTCTAAAAGATTCAGATCAACTCTTTCTTTACAGAATAAAGTCCAAATGCAATCTGTCAACAAAGGACTCTACAATCTGGCTACAACCTACCTTTAATCCTTTGTCTTTCTGCCTTTCTAGCATTTCATTCTTTCTTTTCTTTTTTATTCATTTAATTTATAAAACATTTTCACACAATCTAGTATAAATAAGGCCATGTGAAGGTATGCCTTTATTAAAAAAACATATAACCATATAAAACTTTATTAACAAACATTCTTGAACACCAATGTATCAAACACTGTGCTACAACCTGAGAATTTCAAGAAACAAGATTCAATTCCTAAGCAATTTAGATGATGCACTGTCCCCCTTGTGAACTCTCAGTCCAGTAAAATGACTATAAATAATTATCACGTTTTTGCTCTTCTGGGTTTTGAACAAACTTTTCCCTGCCTGAAATATCTTCCCTCTTTCCTTTTCGAAACCATTTCAAAATCTATCTCTCTGACCCCCTTGCTAAAGCCCTATTCCCATTAGGAGTTAGCACTACCACAGAGACACTTTTAACATTTACATATGTCTTCCTAGCAAAGGTATGTAAGTATTCTAAGAAAGGAGTGATTAAAATTGTCAGAAAGGAGAAAAAAAAATATTTTAAACTATCCTGTATTTCCCACAATGCTTAGCATAATTAGATGTACAAAGATATTCAATATATATTTTGATTTGTAATTAGTGAAAAATATAAACTTGAAAAATTTTATTGAAAGAATATTAGGAATGTAAATTAAGGGCAATGGTATTCCTATAATAGCCTATTTCCAGTGGTGAGATAATTATTCTTGTTTATGTGGATGGTACAAAAGATATCAAAATTTGGTAAAAATAAGACTTAGGCATTCAGAAATGTTTGTCCTGGGAGGTAGCAGTTCTGACCAGTAGACACATTGTTTCACTAAAAATCAGTTCCATAGTCTTAATCATACCAAGTGAAGAGATCAAATCAATTCTCTGAACCTGCACAGGGAAGAATCAGAAGCTGAACAATGGTGACACCATCAAGATATAACAAGCACGTTATGAAGTCCATTCTGAAACAGTGTTAGTCTTGGCTTTCACATTAATAATAAATGCTTAGAAAAAAATAAATCAAGAACATTTCTAATGGTTTTGGGCCAAAGGAGTCATCTTTGTATTTGGAACATTCAAGAACTCTATCAGGTAGCAGCATAATTCAAAATCCAGATGATAAGGCTTAACAATTCAAATATAGTCTTCTGGTTGCATTTAATATTTCAAAAATCCCATTTCTGCCCTGGCCATTTTGCTCAGCAGTTAGAGCATCAGCCCATGAACCAAAAAGTCTCAGGTTCAATTTCCCGATAAGGGTACATACTTGGGTTGCAGGTTCTATCCCTGGTCCCGGTCAGGGTCGTGTGGGAGGCAGCCAGTGGATGTATCTCTCTCAAATAGATCTTTCTTTCTTTCTTTCTTTCTTTCTTTCTTTCTTTCTTTCTTTCTTTCTTTCTTTCTTTCTATCTTTCTTTTCTCTCTCTCTCTCTCTCTCTCTCTCTCTCTCTCTCTCTCTCTCCCCCTCCCTCCCTTCCACTCTAAAAATCCATGAAAAAATATCCTCAGGTGAGGAATAACAACAACAAAAACATTTTTAAAATCCCATTTCTAACAGTTATTTCATTGACTTTCTTTAGTGTATCCCTCTACAAACCTAATAATTTTTCCACTTAATAACCAATATTTTTAGTAAATATTATCTTACTGTTTTCAATCTTTCCTTGTATGCGCATTTATGTTATGTAGTAAGTATATATACCTTGAAATAGTCACTTGATGAAATAAGAGTTTAACATTTAAAAGAGAGCAAGGTAGCCCAGCCACTGTGCCTCAGTGGTTGAACATAGACCCATGCACCAAGAGGTCGCCAATTTGATTCCCAGTCAGGGCACATGCTCAGGTTTTGGGCCCAATCCCCAGTGGGGGGCATGCAGGAGGTGGCCAATTGATGTTCTCTCTCATCAATGTTTCTGTCTCTCCCTCTCTCTCTAAAAAAATAAATCAATCAATAATAATAATGAAAGACAGCAAGGTAAGCATGCTATCTACTTAAAGAATACCAAAATCCTTGTGGCATTGTTTGTAAATATGTTCAAGTTTGTGATTTGCTTATATCAGCAAGATATACATACAATAGATTGAATTTTCTATATGATTTTAAGATGGGTGCCCTGATCTTTAAAAATCTGATTAATAAACTTATTATATATAATTATATAACATATTGAAAATTTTAAACACAATCATAGCAATATTTTTCATCAAAGGGAGGATTTTTTGTTTTAGCTACATAAGTATGAGACCCACTAGCCTAAATTAAATGCCAGAATTATAATCGGATTAAAATTGCTCGGCAAGGTCGCCATGATGTTTAGCCAATCTGTTGACATTTGGACCACTAATTTTATCCCATACCACACGACTGCTATAGTTTCTAAACATAATTCATTAACCACATCATTGATATGGTTGTATAAAAAAAAAAAACTCATATAAGATTCTGGTTATTTCAGGTTTTTATTTTATCATAAGAAAATAATTTTAAACAAAAAACTTTTATTAATCATGTATAATAACTAACAGTGGAAATCAAATGACTATATTAAATAGCAAGAGCACATATATTTTTTACATATTGAGAAACTGGACTAATCACCGTTAGGTTTTATATTTTTATAATACTGACCATGAAAAACATTTTAAAACTATCTCCAAAGCTATCTGCTATTTAAATAAAATATTCAAAAAAAGTGTAATATTGTTAAACATTATCAAATTAACTCATTGAGTCCTCTTTTAGAGTTGAAGGCCAGGGAGTTTAAAAAAGAAAGAAAGAAAAGAATCCATATATAATTTAAATAATTTACACTTAAAAACTACACCAAATATTTCACCCTCAAACGAAAAGCTGCATACTCCATATTAATATACAGTTTAAAGTCCCTTTTAAATCTAGAAAGAAAGTCAAGTAGTTTCTCCATCTATATTTAAGGTATACATTTTTTTAACAACTAGAGAGCTTTCAGAGCATAAATGTCATTCTTTCTTTACAACAACAATGGGTTTAAATTCACAGCTTGTTTTAAGTACACAATTTTATCTGTGCAGTGTATTTGCAATCACTGTAAACCTCTGTCTCAGGAGCTCTCTTTTTTGTATTAGAAAGTTTTCAATAGTATTGGCTTCTTTGAAGAGTCCATCTATCTCGTCAATATAAGATGCATCTACTGCTGCTCTCTCACTAATGGAGGAAAAAAGGTTTGTTAAACTACATAGTTGTAACATCAAAACACACTACCCTAGTAATGTTCTTTATTATATTATATTTGTTAGCTATTTCATTTAAATATCTTTGTGTATCAGCTTCAGTAATTTATACTCTTCAGTAACAGTTAAATTAGTCTCACAATATTTTTGACTACTCAAATTCTCCTGACACAGCAGAATATGTGTCTTATACATTATAATTCTAATGTCAAACTATATGCAGTCATGCTTTGCTCAGTGATGGGGATATGTTTGGAGAAATGTGTCATCAGGCCATTTGACCGCTGTGCTAACATCACAGAATACACTTACACAAACCTAGATGGTATATAGCCTACTACATACTTAGGCTGTATGGTAGACAGTCTGCTGCTCCTAGGCGATAAGCCTATACAGCATATTACTGTATTGAATACTGTAGGCAATTGTAACATAAAGGTAAATATTTATCTAACATAAAATGGTACAGTAAATATACAGTATAAAAGATTTTAAAATAGTATACCTGTATAGGGCACTTACCACAAATGGAGTTTGCAGAACTGAAAGTTGTTCTGGTTGAGTCAGTGAGTGAGAAGTGAGTGAGTGGTAAGTGAATTTGAGGGCCTAGGACATTACTGCACACATTAATATAAACTTTATAAACACTATCCCACAAACCCTACCCCCTGCTTCCTACTGACAGGGTCATAACTACAACATGGAAGCTGTCAATGCTGCTCCATGAACAGGAATGTGGGCTGGATTGACAGAAATATCAAGGAGAAACTGGCTGGGTGTAAATCACCATAACAGTTACTATCAGGAGCAAGTGAAAGGTGGCCTGAGGATCAATAGGAATAAAAAATCAAGATGGCCCTGGCTGATTTTGCTCAGCAGTTAAGAGCGTCAGCCTTCATACTGAAGGGTCTAGGGTTTGATTCTCTGTCAAGGGCACCTGTCTGGGTTGCAGGTTTCATCCCCCTGGGATGCAGATTCTATCCCCGGCCCTGGTAGACCGGGAGGCAACCAATTGATGTGCCTCTTTCACATAGATGTTTCCTTCTCCCCCCACCCCCCACTCCCCTTCCTCCCTCCCTTCCATTCTGTCTAAAAAAGCAATGGAAAAATATCCTCCGGTGATAATTAACACAAAAAATATGTATTTAAAAAATCAAGATGGAAAAAAAAAATAGGGTAGTCAAGACAATGTGGTTTGCCTATTGCAAGTTGAAGCAGTGATCATATTAAGGAACTTGATGTTTTGTTTTTTTTTAAGAGGGTATTTAACATGGAGAGGGTATAGAACTGAGAACTCAACATTGTGACTCTGGAAATTTTCTTCTTTTTTTCCATTGACCTTTTCTGGCATAAAGGGTTCTCTCTGGCATTGAACTGATGGAAGACAAAGTTTGTCTATATTTTGTATCATTACAACCTGAAAATATTTCTGAAGTATGGGGACAGGCTGCCTCCACACTACCACAGACAGCTTTTACTAAAGTGGCAGTGGCCCTTAATATTCAAGACAGTTCCTTCAGAACTGTGTTGTTTTACAGGATCTTAGGTCCTCAACAAAGAATTTATAGCCAAGTACTCTGAAAACTATCCACCTACATCTGGGAGGGCTATAGCATCCTATGAATATGTAGCTCTGGGGGTACAGGCTCCTCTGTGCTGAATCAAGTCAGTGCCTGACTGATTGGAATGTAATCTGTACACTCAGAATTGAGGTTCCATGGCCCTGGCCCAGTTGCTCAGTTGGTTAGAGCATCATCCGGATAGGCCAAGGTTGTGAGTTCAATCTCCAGACAGGGCACATACCAATGAATGCACAAGTGGAACAACAAATTGATCTTTCTCTCTCTCTCAAATCAAATAGGTCAGTAAATAAATGATTGACTGACCTATTTTTTTAAATTGAGGTTCTGTGAGTGAGAGGGAATCTATGGCCAAGCTCCAAAGATACTGATCCCAACAGAGGAAACGAAAATTCCTCCTGAGTCACATATCCTTCCATTTCTCACAGGAAGTTCTGTTCCATTAGAATCTTATGGGACCATTGTCATAAATGTGATTTGTTATTGAGTAAAACACCATTATGTGGTGCATGACTATGCATTATTTTAATAACCACACAACCAGTATTCAAATAAAATGACTGTCTAGTAGTTTTTTGTTTGTTTGTTTGTTTTTTTGGTACATGCCCCTAGCAGGAACTGAACCCGGGACTCTCTGGTCCGCAGGCCGATGCTCCAACCGCTGAGCCAAACCGGCCAGGGCTGTCTAGTAGTTTTAAAAAACACCTTATGAAACATGATAATCTCAGGTTAATAAAACATTAAAATTCAGCCTTCAAATATATATGGATAATATTTAAATATTTCACAAACATATATATTTTATCTTTAATATCACTCTATTACCATTAACTTTACCAAATGGTAGCAATCTGAAAAAGGTTTTATCATAATATTTTAATCCTCACCCGAGGACATTTTTCGATATTTTGTTCAGATAGAGTGGGAGGGAGAGAGAGAGAGAAACATCGACGTGAAAGCGACACATCGAGTGGTTGCCATCCACACGACCCAACCAGGGCCGGGGACAAACTGCAAACAAGGTACGTGCCCTTAGCGGGAACCGAACCCGGGTCTCTCCGGACCGCAGGCCGACGCTCTAACCGCTGAGCCAAACCGGCCAGGGCTATCATAATATTTTAAATGTTATATCACTAAAGACCAAAATATATCCAGCCTAGTATTTGTTGCGGTATTAGTAAAACAAAGGATACTTAGTGAAAATGTTGAAATTATTCTTTGAAAACAACAAACTAACTTATAAGAAATTGAGGTAGAATTTTTTTAAATTCCAAAATTATAGTAACTGAACAGGTACTGCAACCACTGAACATAAAGTTCTCATTATGGGGTTTCCTGAAGAAAAATAAAGACTCAAGAGAATACATTGTAAGTACTTACCTTAAGATCTTTGCATATGTCGACAACATTAGATTAATTTCCTTGCTCATATCTATAAAAAATCACTGAGTTAATTTATAAAATATAACAAAACTTCTCTATTATAAAAATAAACATGTGTGTGTGTGTGTGTGTGTGTGTATGTATATATATAGAAGAATTTTCTACATCACCATTCAAATCTTTCTCCAGAGCTTCATCTTTATAAAATAGTCCAGAGCTTTCAGAGAAAGAGGAATCTGATTTTGCAGTAGAGGACAGTTGCGGACTATCTGGCATTTGAGGCTAATACAAGAAAGTAAAAGAAAATAGGTAAACAGTCAATAACATCCTTAAGAAACATACATTCTATTTTTAATGCCCAGCCAGGGTGGCTCAGTGGACTGAGTATCATCCCATGGACTGAGAGGTTCGATTCCTGGTCAGGGCACATGCCCAGGTTTCGAGCTCAATCCCCAGTATGGTGCATACAGAAGGCAGCCAATCAATGTTTCTGTCTTACATCAACGTTTCTCTCTCTCTCCAAAATATCAATAAAACTATTTTTAAAACTTTTAAAAGCAAATAAAACATCTTTCAGAAAAAAAGCAAACATGCTAGAAATGATATGTTCTTGTGTCCTAACTAGCCATTTGAAATTTTATTACCAGGGAAACTTTTAGTCCCAACAAGCACCTTGTTCAACATACTAAATTTTATTTTGACTTTTTTATTAGGCTTTGAATATGTTGTTAACCGCCTGATGAAAAGCATCTTGAACCAGTACATGTTTCCATAGCAATATAGCAAAACTTTCATTTAGACAATAGCTAAATGCTTCCAAATATTTTGCAACATTACAGTCTTTAAGGGAGTCCCAAATGCAAATATTAATGGGTGGAGATGGTAGTGAAGAAAGGCAGAATACAGTGTTCTTATTTTAAAAGAATAGCAACTCCAGTACCTCGGTATCCTACTTATTACAGCAAAATAATAACTTAAAGATATCATAAAGATATAAACCCACTTGTGTCTCCAGATACAAATTACCGCAAAGAAATCTCCCAATAGTTTCTTGGAGGCTTTCCCATATACTTGGTAAAAAAGCAGCTGAAGTCAATATAGTCCCTGCTGGGACAATCCCAGCTCTGGGAACATGAAAACTTAAATTCCATTTATCAATAGAACTTTCTTAAAAGGAAGAAATTTGAGATGTATATAAAATAAAATATTATGGCTGTGAGAGTATATAGATTACCTCCAACTCTCTTGGTCTCTTGCAATTTCTAGTATCAGGTTTTACAAGGTGACTTGCCATCATATTCTGGAGGCAAGGGCTGCAAAATTTTGAGCAATGCCAAACTTAAGTACACGCTCCATGCTACACAGATCTCTTCAATCTTTCCACTCACTGCCACTGTTGACTTAGGCTGTCATTATCTGTCACTCACCTAAACGACACAATTTCTCCCTTTTCTAATTCATCCTACCAACTGCTGTTTGGGCAGTCTTTCAAAACTCTGATTACCATATTCCCTTAAACTTTCAAAACCGTATTTACTGCATCCCTGTGTCTCAAAAGTGTCCCCTTGACTATTCATTGCTCCAGAATAAGTTCAAATTCCATCCGAAGTCCTACATCCCCTGGGCCAACCTACCATTCCCAAGATTTTCATCAACTCCTTCCATGTACAGTCAGCCGAACTATTGTTTTTGGTGCATCTGCCTTGTTTCAGGAGTGAGTTAAGATTCTTCTACCTGCACAATATCTTAATGTTCAAATAGATGTCACTGTTCATCTAAATCTATCTCATTTTTTACAGACACGAAAACGGGCAGAGAGAGCGAACCGAGTTCAAACAAGTCGAAACCAGGACTAGACTGGATCTTTTCTAGCCTGAGGTTGTTTCTACTGTCTTCTACCTTCGTGTAGCTTCAAATTTTACTTTTAAATTACTTTCCGACAGATCTGGAGATAATTTCCCTAGGAGTCTGAGAGATTAAGTTTAAAATAAAAAATCTGGAAACCCAGAGTGGGTGTCTGTGCATCTTAAGGGAGGAGGAGCCCGCCTACAATCTCGTTCTCAGTTTCCTTAGCTTGCTTCTCGAGAAATGGTGCTCACTGGAACCCATCTGCTTGGTTAGTCTCACAGAACCCTCGTGTAAGTAAGACAGTGCCTAAGACAGCGCCTACAAGGCATGGCGACGTCCGGGGAGCCGTCCCTGCCCCGCCCCCGCGCTGCCAGCGCTCCTCCAAGGCGACTCCTGCAGGCCAGGATGCAAGTTGCTCTCTTCCCCCTCCCCCTCCGCCTCCTCCCCCTTCTCCCCCTCTGCCCCCTCCCCCTCCGCCCCCTCCCCCTCTGCCCCCTCCTCTTCTCCGTCCCCTCTTCCCCCTCCCCTCCCCTCTTCCCCCTCCCCTCCCCCTTCCCCCTCCCCCCTTCCCCCTCCCCTCTTCCCCTCCCCCTCCCCTTTTCCCCTTCCCCTCCCCCTTCCCCCTCCCCTCCCCCTTCTCCCTCCCCCCTCCCCCTTCCCCTCTTCCTCCTCTAAGTCACTGCATGTGCACACAGGTCACATGAAAACTTTTATAATCAGGCCATTCTGTTTCTGGAAAAACTAAACTTTCTGTCACCACACAGGGCCTCAGATGAATCCAGGCCTGGCCAAGAGGCTGGCCCTTGCCACTGACTGCTGCCGTCCACGCCCCACGCCCCACGCCCCACGCCCCAGCCGGGGCCACCGCCAAGCCCTACCCCTGGGCCCTACACAGGCTTGCCCCTCCCTCGCCTCTCTGCCCCCTCGCGCCACCGCACCGACCTCGCTCCTCACGTCCAGCCCCTCTCCTCCCCGCTGCGTGCGAGGCAGCCCCCCTAGAAACCCGAGGGGACGCTCCCATCCTCGCGCTGCCTTTAGCCCTCCAGCCCGCCCCAAACCATCTACCACAGGGCGGTCAGAACCTCTCCTCGCCAGAGCGCGGGAATGAAGAGGCCGGAAGTTGCTGGCGCGCAGACTCCGGGCGGAGGGGCGGGGCTCTCCCGGCAGTCAGCGCGTGCGGGTCACGTGGCCGCAGGTTCCGAGCCCTGCAGGTTCCCAGCCCCGCCAGGTAGCACCGCTCTGCGGCCCCCGGAAGGCGGGCTTTTTCTGCTGGTCTCCCGCTCATCCTTTCCACTCGGAAGCTCCATAGAACCACGTCTCCCCGCCTCCCATGTGTGTTTGGAGAACAAGGGAAAATCTGAGACCGGTCTCTCCGAAAGAACACGGAAGAACTGCCAGAGCAAGGCCAGAGTGGGTCCCAGCCACTGAGTCCCAGTGGGGGAGCACGAACTAGCACCCCTCCGCCACGCTCACCACCTGGTCCAGCTGGTTGGTGTGATGGGAGGGTTTGTGCCCCAGTTCCTCTGGCCGGCAAGCAAGACTTCGCCATCAGAGCCCCCGTTCCTGAAGCACGTTTGCTTCGGTGCAATCACACCCTTTTCGGAAAGTACTTTCTAGATGTGTCAGTGAGTTTAGGCCACTGAATTGACAGCTTTCAAAAAATATTTTGTAACACGCATGGCCCACACTTCAAATTTAGCCGATTGGGTACTTTACTGTGGCAACTTTGACCTGCAGTTTCAAAGATAGATATTCTAAACTTAGGCCCAGTTAGGTGATGTGGAAGGAAACAATGATATCAACTCATAAAGCAAAGGTCAATAACAGCCCCCCCATAAATTCCAGGTACCCAATCTTACACCTGTCAAAATTTATGACCCATACCTTAACCTAGACTGAAACGGGGAGGACATACTGGAGAAGCTCTCACATCCTATGTCTTCAGAAAGCCCTACAGGAAGAACTCTTGTGTTTACAACTGAACCCTATGGTATCGGCAGCCCCTCGCTCCTTTATCGGGGCACGAAGCCTCCCACGGCTAGCCATGGCTGCGCGTTTTGGATTGTGACCTTTCTTTTTCCTGAATAGGTACTTTTCTGTGAGGAAATACCTACTTGACTTTTGTTAACAGTTGACACACCTTAGCAAATTATATTTAACATACGAAATTTAATGTTTTCCCCTTTTGGTTTATTTAAATGTTAGTTGTTATACAGACTTACCAGTGTTGTATGTATATGTTTATTCATTTATTTATTTATGTTTATTTATTTATATGTTTGTGGAAAAGCCTATTGTTTTAAATAAGTTCCTAGAAAACACATACTCAATTTGTTTAACTTTATTTGCTAATATTGTGAAATATCAGTCAATAAAACTAGGCTAGAACAGGCAGTTATCTAGTTCTTAAAATATTTCCAGGAAAAATTATTCCACCTAATACATAACTGTTTACATCAGATTAAGAGAACACTCTTAAAAAATTTATTTTATTTTTAAAATTTTGGCTTCATTGGATAAACCAAAAGAGTAAAAATAAGTAAGAGAGGATGGAGGGTTATAGTTGTCTAGTGCTTTAAAATATCCAAAGGACTATCATCATCTCATTTGATCTTCACAAACAATCCTATGAAGTAGGCAGGATGTGGAGACATTTGGGTTACTCTGTATCAAAGAAAAAAATGTGTGTCCCAAAACTAAGAAATGGATTAGGTTATGCATTCTACATCTTTACAGCTAGAAAAGAATAATTGGCATTTAAATAAGCCATTTAAAATTAACTTGTGTGATCCTCTGCTACTAACCACTGTTTTGACTCCATCCACTTCGTGCTTTCATGTTGACTGTCCCGACTAGACATTACAGTTGGAGGATGAAAACTTGTTATTTCAATTTCAGTCATATGTGTATTTTCATCATATACTTCTCTCTCTTTTTTTATCATATACTTTTTAAATGTACCATTTTTTTCTTCTGATAGCCACCACACCAAGCACCTCCAACCATTCTGCCAGACTTCCTTTGTAATCACTACTGTGGACATGATGTTTTAATGACCTTATAAAATAAAAACACTCTTGTTAAAAACAAAACAAAAAAAATCAAATAGCTGCAAATGTGAGCATTTTTTGTTTCCTAACTCTAGGAAACCAAGTCATTTTGCTAATTCCCCTGCTAGCAATGTACTGCAATTTAGCACATGTTCAAAAAAATTTGTCTAAAAAGCATTGTTTCTACTAACTATTTTCAGGGTTATGGTATTTACACTCTGCTTTTCTTTTTCTTTTTCTTTTTTTTTCACACATGTAACATTTTATTTTATTTTTCAATTAATTTATTTTTGTTACAGATGTTTCTCCTTTTCCCCCCACTGATATCCCCCTCCTCCTCCCTCCGCACCCTGTCCCCAGCTTTGTTGTCCATGTCCATTGTTCATGCACACATGCATATAAGTTCTGTGGTTTATTTCCCCCCCACACCCCCTCTTCTGGGGATTGTCGGTCTGTACCCCACTTCCATGTCTCTGGGATAACCCTATTCCTCAGACTATTATGTTCATTATATTCCACAAATAAATGTACACTCAGCTTTTCAAATGTTATATTTTAGATGCTATGCTTTCATTGTATGAATTATTCTAATAAGGCTAATTCGGCACTATTAGATTAAAATGTTTTGTGCTGAAGTACCAGTAGAAGTCTCAAACAGACAAATGTGAAAAAGATGCTTCTAATTGACCAAGCTGGTGCTTTTGTTTAAGTTACTTGAATATACTTTGAAAAAGGTACAGACTTTGGACAGTCAGAACTCCAACTTTTACAGAAGAAATGATGTCATTAAAATAATGATTTTGCATTAAAGAAATACCCATATTCTCTGACAATTTCTTTCAAGTTCCATTGCCCTAAGAAAGAGTCCATGGTTGAAGGCGGGTCCAAGGCGTGCCAGAACAGTCTCCTCCCTCCAATTTTCTTCCTCGTTCCTCTCTGCCTCTGAAGGCTGTTGTATCCGGAGGAGCAGCTAGGAGTCCGATTTTCAATGCTTTCTGTGTTCCTGGCTCCCTGCTGAAGGGGCTGTCACCTTCTGCCATCTACACAGCCTCAGGAAAACAAACAGACCTCACACCTTCCAGATCACTTTTTCTTCTAGGAAACTATTGAGCACAGGTAAGAAATACCATTCCTCTCTATCTGGAAGCCCAAACACGGTGATTAGAGGTAAATAAGCTAGAAAAGTGATTGAGAGAAATGTAAGGTTTCTGATGTCACTAGGACAGGCAATAACAACATAAGGAATGTAGCAAAGTCAGAGTAGAAACATCTCTTTTTTAGTCTTTTAGAGCAAATATTCTCAAACTTTTGGTCTCATGACTTCTTTACATATCTAAAAATTATTAAGGACCCTGAAGAATTTTTGTTTCCCTCGGTTATTTACTGTATTGCTGCCATTTACTGTATTTGACATTAAAACAGAAATTTAAAAAATAGTGACCAATTAATTTAATTTAAAATAACAATTACCATGTCGCATAACGTATAAATAACGCTTTTAATTATAGATTCCCTAACAAAAAAACCTACTGTGAAGAGTGACATTGTTTTTTATTTTTATAAAATCTCTTTAATGTCTGGCTTAATAGAAGACAGCTGCATTCTCCTCTGCTTCTGATTCGGTCTATGTGATATCACACATAGTGTAGCCTCTGGTAAATTCTCTGTATTCTCCTGAGAGAATGAGAATGAAAAAAAAAAAAAATTGCATCTTAGAATTACTATGATAGTAACTTTGACCTCATGAACCCCCTGAGTACTGCTGCTTTAGAATGATAAAATAAATAAGCTTTGCCTTAAAGGGAATCTCAACTCTGTTTCAATTATACTAAAAGGAAAAAAAAATTGCCAAAGGTTGATCATCTTGATGGAATCTGCCTCAGCACCTTTAGGACAATATTATAGCATTCCCCGGAGAATTTCATTTCACAGTAAGAAAGGGGCCGAATAAATATCTCTAATTTGAAGTATGACTAACAAAAATTAGGACACCCTTAAAATTCTTTTTTCTGTTTGCCTATATCCAGCTATTTCAAGTTCTATTAAATCTTCCTTTAAAATGCCTTCTTGAATTGGATTTGTTCATATAATCCCTACATGAGTATTATGAATTCTTACTTGAATTCCTGCATGAATTCTCATAGTAGTTTCATAACCTCTTTCTAATCTCTTTCATAATGCACTGGCAGCTCAGTAACCTGCTTTCCTATTGCCTGTGAGGTCAAATTCAAATGCTTGTTTTATGTGACTTCAAAGCCCTTCATACTTGAACCCCACCCTACCTGTGTTCACCACAGAGCTGCTGGGTTGTTCTGCTAGTGCGAAAATGTGACCCTGTTCAGTCCACCCCCTACCACCATCACAACGTTGTTTTAATCGTCACATAAATGCTCTTCCATCTGTTTAAATTTTAAGCATTCTTTAAGATTAAATTCAGTTTTCCTTTTCACACAAGACCATTCCAACTACATTGGTTCCATTTGGGCTTTTTGCTTTTTATCTGTATTTAGCAGTTAATTACATACCTTTTATCATTAATCATTTACCTAAATCTTTACTTAGGTCTTCTTCTGCCCCACCTCCACCACACCCACATATATACATTAATAAGATGGAAAAATTTTCAAGAACAAAATGATTTTCAGAACTGAAAAATTGGGTTTTGAATCTTGTTGCTATCAAAATGATTACGTACCCAATTTCAGGGAATTAGGTAACATGCTTCTTCATTTTATCTCATACATTGCACAGAATTGGAATTCCACAACAAAGCTGAACATAATGATAGTTGTTTTCCAAGTTCAAGGCATTTTTACTTTTAATCCGATAGTATGAGGAAGTGGTTACAAGGATATTTGCCACAAACAAATGATTCTTTTCTTTCTTATCTAGAATCTAGAATTACAAAATGCTGGAGCTGGAAAAGACCTTAAAGATCAGCCACTCAACTCCCTGTTTCACTAATGAGGAAACTGAGATCCCCCGAATTAAAGGATGAGCCCCAAACAGTTTTGGAATGCATGTGGCCTAGTTTCCATCACAATTTTCTACTATCCACTAACCTCTAGATCCTTTCCAAGGCTTGTACAACTAAAACTGTTTTTGTTTCAAAGAACCAGTTGTCACTGCATATTCTTGGGAGGATCTTTCTGAAGTGGTTTATACTTCTTTTAAAAAAAAGTTTATAATCTGAGTATTTTAGACAAAATATTTTTAAGCATTTTTATCCAATGGAAACTATAATTTTTATAGATTAAATTAAAAAAGCAAAGGAAGACAGATGAGAAAGAAAAAGGAAAGTTGGAGGAGGAAGAATAAATACTTATAATCATAGATGCATTGATATCTAACAAAAAGAATGGTAAGAGAATAAATATTTCAAAACACAAAGTAAAGAGAAAGTACTAGGGGGGAAAAAAGAAGAGAAAGAACTCGGAGAAATTATTCCAGTTTTTAAAATCTGCTTTTAAACCTTTCCCATTTTCTTTTTCTCATTGGCTTTAAGATGGAGTAAAAGTTTTGAGGCAGAAAAAATTTAGCACTGGCCAGTGTGACTCAGTTGGTTGGGCATCAGCTGAAAGGTTGCCAGTTTGATCCTGGTCAGGGCACATGCCTAGGTGTGCCCAGTAGGGGGTGTGAAGGAGGCAGCCAATTAATGTGACCTCACATCATGTTTCTCTCTCCCTCCCTCTCTCTTCCTCTCTCTCTCTAAAAATTAATAAAGAAGAAAGATCTTTAAAAAAATTCTACCAGCCCTTTACACATTGTTGTCATGGTGAAAAGTTTTTTAAACATTTATTTATTTGCTGTGTAAGTTCTTTTCAGATGTTGAAGATTTAAAAAAATAGAATGACTCATTGCCTTAAAGAAATTTACATTAAAGCTAGATAGAAATATTTGTCATCAAAATAACCTTAATCCTTATTTCAGAAGCCTGAAGCAGGGAGGATTGGAGCTGGGACTTAAAGGAAGAAGGGCTTGGCAGGCAGAAAAAAAACTGGGGAAGTTCTGGCCTGGCAGGAGGGACTGGGGATGGGGGTTGGGTGAATAACTCTGGCAAAGGTATGTAGTGGGGGAGGGTCTGGAAGCAAAAAAACAGGAAGAGTAGTATTAAAGTAGAAAATCCCAGACGTGATTGAGAGCTTTATTTAAAACACTGCTGGTGGACATGTAGAGGTGATACCAAATTATTTCAGAGTTATGATCTATAGTATTTATGAGGCAGACATAAGATTAGGCAAAGGAGTCAAGAAGGACTTCCAGGTTTCAGTTTTGAACAGTTCATTTGGACATGTTTGAGAAAGTAATTCATTCATATATCTTATAGTTGGAACTGTGGATCTGGAGACAGAAATTAAAATGTGCAAGTTATAAAGCCCCCAATAGCTACTACCCTCTCTCTTCACTTTATAGCCAAGTCTCCTAGAATAGTTTGTAGTCACTGTCAGTACTTTTTTCCCATGCCATTCTGTTCTAGATCTTTGTCAACTTGCCTTTTGCTATCTTCGTTTTCTCCAAACTGTTCTACAGATACTGAAACTTCCTAATGGTCAAATTCAATGAACAACTTGAAGCTTATATATCTAAGTTATGAGCTCAGCAGTATCTGATTTCAAGCACCCCATCCTTGAAGCTTTTTTCTCCCTGGACTTCTGTGACACTTCTCTCTTAGATTTGCAATGCTGAACCATGTTGTGCTCAAGCCTGTCTTTTATTCTATTTCTTAGTTAATGAGGTAACACTCAACAAATTGCTCAAGTCAAAAACTTTGTAGTCATCCTCAGTTCCTCCTTCTTCCATTTGACCCACTACCAATCAGCTAAAAAAATCCTGCTGTTATTCTGTCTGGACACCATCCTCTCCTTTTCATCCTCACAGCCACCACCTTGGTTTATGTAGTCTCATCAACTCTTAACCTAATTGTTAAGATTGCTTCTGAGGTTGTTTTCTGGCCTCTGGCCAGTCTTGCTCCATCAAATCCATTCTCTACACTGCTGCCAGATTATTGACTTTAAAACATAAATCTGAACATATCTTTTTCCTACTTTAAGTAAAACAGTATATTTTCTAAAAAGAATTATAAACTCTCTAGCTAGTTGAACAGGCCTTCATAATCTGACTCTCCTTTACAAGCTTGTGTCAAAACAAACTTCATTGCAAGTTGCATTTTATGTGGCTTGAATTAGGCAGAATCAAATGAATGTTGTATAAAAATAATAGTCTCGCATTATAAGCAAAGTGGAATATGTGAGCTCCAAGTTAGTTTATCTAAAATGACATGATTTCAAAATGGTAAGTCAGTGAGTTGTGCACTGTGAACACCATTGCCGCATGCAAGGGTCTCTTATACCTGGTAGAATATCTGCTTCCATGCCAGTGTTATGTCAGACTATTCTTTATCCCAGAAATTCTGGAGACATACTGCTATTGTTGTGCTACTAATTTTTTAATATCCACTACTATTATAACTTCAAATATTTTTATATCTGATAATGATGTTATCAGAGTGCTAAGGGGTATTATTACTACTTGTGCTGAAAAACAAAGAAATAAATTGGGACAAAATTTAGATGCAAGTAAACAATATTAAAAAGGCCAAAGTACCACCATGATAGCCTGTGTAGAGAGAACACTCACGAAAACATTAGTAACAATGGTGAGAAAGTTGAAAAAAGAAAGAAAACAAGAATATACTTTGTTGCAGGTTTATGGATTCCGAAGATACCCCCTCACATACTTTTATATTTATTCCCAAGGAAAAGTTAATCTTGAATATGTGAGATCCTCAGAAATGCATTCTTTCTGTAAAATGTGACTGCATTTGCATTAATTGTTGTAAAAATGATGAGGCTCCGAACAAGCCGTGTTCTCTCAGCCTCCCTGCTTCCTGGCTTTTGCTCACACTGTTCTCTCTGTGAAATGCTCTTCCTCAGCCTTGCAAATGCTCTAAGAAGCCTTCTTTAATACACCAGGCAGAGAGGATCTCTTGTAAATCCATTTCTTACAACATTCATTATACTTTTTTGTTAACTGTTTATATATTTGTCTCTCCCTCTAGACTCTGAGTAATTGGAGGGTAGGAACAAAGTCTCCTCATGTGTGTTCTGTCAGCTTTCTAGTCCCATGCCTAACACATACTGGATATTCAATGATTAATAGATGAGTCAATTTAAATATTAGGTGTTATTATTATTTCTTAAGGTCATTGTGTCCTCTAAATCCATTCACTCATTGACTAACTAAAAGCTGTAGTAAACACTAGTAATTTCATCCCAATTCTACACATACTACTTTGTATTTTCAGGTGAATTACTTTCATAAAATATGTATGCATAATATAATATTAAAGTTTATAGAGAAGACTACCCTAGCCATTATCCCACCAATGTGTATGTGTGTGTATGTGTGTGTGTATATATATATATTTGTATAACTTATATAGTAACTATCCACATTTGTATATGTGTAAGGAACTACACCTAGAGAAAACTGTTAACCACCAACTAACAAGTATTTTGGGTTAGATTAATTTGGATTAAGTTCTTACAACTGGGTTTTAATTTTCTGATTCCTCTACCATGTATGTTTTGCCTTAGCAGACTATGTTTGAAAATAAGTTGAGTCAGTTCTCTACCTATGAGCATAGATTTATAAATACCCCTATATATACCACTGAGAATTGTGACTCAGCCACCTTCTTTGGAGCTCCAACCTTAACTGTTCTCAGGGACCCAAGATACTCCTGAACTCTAGAGTAGAGCTTCTTAATCATTTCTGTGGCGTATACCCCCATGGGCAGTCTAGTAATGTCTGTGGACCCTTCTCAGATAATGGTTTTACCTGCATAAGGTTAAATACTTAGGATTATAAAGGAAACTCATTATATTAAAATAGTGTTGTCAAAAAAGTTTTTTAAACACATTTTAATATAGTACATGTGTGTTTCTCTGTTTACACATTAAATAACAAGGTCTACTGGTGGGACTAATAACTTCCATATATTTCAAAGTAGTAACAAGTTTAAACCATATATTTCAAGCTCTCTGCAACAATTACAGCACAATAGGAAATCTGTATTTCTATTAGTGACAGTTACTACTAATAATACTGTGGTTTGTCTCATATAACATAATGAAAGGAACTGTTAAATTTTAGTTAGAAGTTGATGAAAATAAATACACAGTAGGGCAAAAGTAGGTTTAGAGTTATGAATACATAAAACACAGTTTATTCTTGTATTAGTATTTATTTTTGTATTCTATACGAACAACCGTAAACTACTTTTTTTTCCATCCACGTTCACAAGTGTCCCAGATTTAGAACCCCTATTCCATAGACAAAGATCTGAAAATATACACATCATATTGGAGAGGGGTGCGGTAGGCTGGGACCGGGGAGAAAAGCAAAAAGAAGAATTTTTGATATTTTCAAATCTCGTACTATTTGATTTTTTTAAAGAAAGGTTGCATTTATGTATCACTTGTGTAAAAAACATAATATCCAGATTTCAGGTCAAAAACTGCTGCTGCTCACAGGGGCAAAGGGCCAGTAGATGCTGGCGCCCTTCGGCCTCCACACACTCCGCCCCCACCCCCAGGTGGGAACACCATTCTTACCATTACCTTCAGCACTTTGATAACAAATTTCAGTCTTTCATGCCCAGGAACCCACTGGTTGTAAGACAGATAAAACCCATCTGTAGTTAGAGGATTAGGTGTGTTTCTGGAATTTTGTATTTATATTGATACTATAATTCAGTTTAATAATGGGCTACTTGTGCACCCTTTGTAACATTGTTTAATGAGAAAATGCTTTCTAGATTCCAAATATCTGATGATTTGTCAGAGAATGTTTGAAGATGTATATTCATAAGCTGAAGACTTCTGGCATCTTTTAAATGCCCAGAGTGTATGTCCCCATGCTGGGTAAGATACCAACTTCTGAGTTTGGAGGTAGTACAAGGCAGTAAGGAGTAAAAGATTCCTTTTGTGTAAGAGCAACAATCACTGCCTTTTAACAGATGACTCTTTGCTTTCATTAGGAATAAAGATGGCTGTTCAACTAAAAGAAATAAATTGCATCGACTTTGTGGGAATAAAATTTATTGACAATATACTTTACTTTAAAGGTAAGTCTAAAGCAATAGACCAAATACAGGATTCAGATGAATCTATTCCACTAAAAAAGGCATTGTGAGATGAACTATTAAGTGACTCCTTAATGTCTTCAAATTCCATTGTAACACTAATGATATTCTTCTCTGGAAGAAAAAATATATTGGGCTTCTGGAAAGTAACCATAATATATCCAAGGTCCCAGCACCTTGTCCCACTATGTGACTCACACTTTAGTTAGCAGCAGCCTACATACAAGGTGGGAGCTAGTGCACAAATTCCACACAGTTAGGGACATTCAGGGAATACAATTTCCCAAAGCAAATTGACAAATTATATAAGAGATACTTTAAATCTAGAGCTCTGTGAGTGAGCTGTACCATATAATATAAATGTATTTGCCAAATAAAAACAGATTCTTTTTTTATTTATTTATTTTTTATTAATTAATTTTTGTTACAGATGGTTCTCTTTTTCCCCCCACTGATTCCCCCCTCCCCCTACCTCCCTGCCCTTTCCCCAGTTTGTTGTCCATGTCCACTGTTCATGCATACATGCATATAAATTCTGTGGTTTATCTCTTCCCCACCACCCCCCTATTTAGGGGATTGTCAGTCTGTATCCCACTTCCGCGTCTCTGGGACTACCCCCTTCCTCAGACTGTTATGTTCATTATATTCCACAAATAAGTGAGATCATATGAAACTTGTCTTTCTCTGTTTGGCTTGTTTCACTTAGGATGATACTTTCCAGGTCCCTCCATGTAGTCTCAAATGATAAGAGGTCTTTCTTTCTTACAGCTAAGTAGTACTCCATTGTGTATATGTACCACAGCTTTTTTATCCATTCGTCTACTGATGGACACTTGGGCTGTTTCCAGATCTTAGCTATTGTAAATAGTGCTGCTACAAACATGGGGGTACATGTATTCTTTCTGGTTGGTGTTTCAGGCTTCTTAGGATATATTCCTAGAAGTGGGATCACTGGGTCAAATGGAAGTTCAATTTTTAATTTTTTGAGGTAACACAATATTGTAAAAACAGATTCTTATAATTAGTCTTCTGTGGGCCATTTGGCTTCCTTTGAAAGCTTCATAGAAAGTCCCGAGGCCACCTTCCATTGAAGCAATAAATTTAAGAGTAAAATCTATCACTTTATAAAATTTATTTTTAGTTATAAATTTATATTTTTAAACCCTAGATATAGGTTTTTATATCTGATTTATCAGAGAACACACTAAGTCTAATAAGTTTCATTTTATGGGACCTTTGGATGATTTTATAATTTTTCTATGGGGCCAATAGCAACAAAGACCAGCACCAGTAAGACAGGGGTTAAATAATGGGGCGTGGCAGAAAAAAGTAATAAGATGTAGGGTGAGAGGAGATTTTGAGTTGAAATATAGAATTTAACATATTTTGTTTCTCTTTTTTCCCCTTTAGCTGAAGATTATGGTAAAGTATAAATTTATTTCTCTTACTTTGCAAAACTGAAAATAGCTCCTTGAGTACGCATTCCACGGACACACCTATATCACCATTCTTAGCTGAGAGAAACTGGTACCAATCTATGTGAGAAGCTAATCTTCCCTCAAAGCAACATAAACCCAACAACACAGCCTTGGAGTAAAGCTGACCATAAAGGACACAAAGGACACGCTCTAACAAAACTGCTTCTCTACACTTTAGGAAATTCTCCAGCTCTCAGAATCTACAAAACAGACTTTTCCTATTACACAGATTCTGAGGTAGCAGGAAGTCATGGATTATCCAGAGAACATGGGAAAAGGGGATCACATGAGAATTGTAATCTGAAATCAAGAACATCTTTCTTCTTCAGTCCTATCTCTTAGAGTGCTTTGGGAAGAAGCCTGGGAGGCTCCCAGGGAAAGGACATTTTCAAAGTAGAGGAGATGGGCAAGGCTGGAGCGAGCAGGAACTGTGAGGTTGAGTCATTAAGTCTTCACAGGAAGAGGGTGTACCAGCCCTTGTCCGTCTGGCATCAGAGAGCATGCCCATATCTAGGCCATGATCCTCGAACAGATGCCATGATTATTAAAGGTCATTAGTTTCTCATACTTTTCCTTTAAAATAGCACTTTCCCCATTTTAAAGGTGATCCTTACTGGACTAGAAATAGGAAAAAAAAGTAACTTTAAAAAAATGCTATTCCTTCATTTTTCTTTTCTTTTTTCCAGCTTTATTGAGATAATGACATAACTCCTCATGCTTCTTAAAGATTGAACTACTCTCCATTTCTTAAGTCGATATATACAGGGTGGGGTAAAAGTAGGTTTACAGTTGTTTGTATGGAAAATAATACAATAATAGATAATAATACAAGATTAAATATGTGTTTTGTGTATTCACAACTGTAAACCTGCTTTTGTCCACCCTGTATTGGCATCTGTATCTCAGGCACTGTTAGACACTAGCATACAGTGCCAAGCAAAACATAGTTCCTATTGGGAAAAGCAGGCACTTAAAGAAGGCAATTGGAATATGGGGCACAGGATGCTATGGGAGCATATCGAAGGGGCACCCATTTCAGTCCAATAGATTCTGGGAGAACATTTTCAAGGAGACACATATTTGAAGAGGGACTAGTAGCTAGCCAAGAGAAAGTGTTCTGAGCAGAGAGATCACCTGAAAGGCCAAGATATGAAAGAAAGCATAGCATATATAAGGAATTAAGAGTACTTCAGAATGGGAGTAGAGAATGAAGAGAGAATGATAAATAGGATGCAGATCGAGAAGGTTCTCTTATTCCAAGATAATGGAATTTGGACCTTATCTTTGGGTGATGGAGATTCATTAAGCACAATATGCATGATCTAGTGTACAGATTGGTTTGCTGCAACAAAGAGATCTAAAAATATAGTGACTGAATACAATAGAAAATATTTCTCTCAAATACAAATCCAGGTAGGTAGTTCAAGATGGGTATAGTTGGATGCAGGCTGAAGTTGTTGGGATCTTAAGTTTCCTCTGTCTTGTTATTCCAGTATGCCCTAACTGCAATCATTCACATACTTGACAATTATCACCACTCTTCTGCTTCCTGGGTCCATTTCTAAGCTAAGCAAGAAAGGGTTTGAAATATGAAGAAGATGGGCCCATTCCTTTCAAAGGCCCTACATGGAAGTCATACTCATATTTCATTGACTTTATTCTGGGTGGCCATGTGCCTCATCAAAATTCAGAGATGATATTACTGTATCTCTGAATTTTAACTTTAATTGAAAATTCCATCTGGCTTTAGTATAAAGAATTGATGTGGGGACAAAAAAAAAGGGGGGGGTGCCTTTTAGGAAGCTATAGTTGTCCCTATAAGAAATGATGGGGACATGAATTGAAGCAGGAACAACTGGATGCCAGTGAAGAGCTGTAAATGGATTTTAGAAATACTTGGAAGAATCCAAGTATTTGGGGGTTGGACTGGGAAGGGGATAGAGAGAAAGATGGTGCTTAGGTTTTCTCACTTAGGTGATTTGTGCTATTCCGTGAAAGAGGAAACACAAGAGGAAGAGCAGGGTAAATTTGTATGCAAAGAGGAAAATAGATGATAATTTAGTTTTGTATCTTGGTAGTGGGACATCCTTGTGGAAATGTCCAGTAGGCTCTTGGACATATGGTTCTGAGCTCAGGATGAAAATTTGGGCTGGTGATACAGCTGTAGGAAGCTTATGCATAAAAATGACATCTGAAACTATAGGAATGAAAAAACGAATCAGAGGAAATGTATAGAGTGAGAAAGTAAACGTCAAGGACCAAACTCAGAGGAATACCTATGTCTGAGCATGCAGTAGAAAAAGAAACTGATAATTAAAAGTAACCAAAGACGAAGAAGAAAAACCAAGAGCATGCCACAGAATCCCCAGAGAGATTTTTAAGATGGAGATAATTAGGCTCTGTTGAATTTTGCGGCCTTGAAAACCAAGGGTAGGAAAGCATCTTTTACATTTAGCAACAGGGAGTTTGGCAATCTTGGTGGAAGAAGTTTGGTAGAGAAATAGAGGCCAAGAGAGATTGAATGAGTAGAAGAGGGAATGGAAAGCAAAGAAATGATACAGGTCTTGCCAGAAGATCCACTGTTTAAAGGAGACACAAGGCTAACTACCAAGTTGGATATGATTGATGGAGGAGTTTTAAATCTCAAAATGAAAAGAGCTTTGCGTTTTTCTGATTATAAAAATAATGTTTTTATTATAAATAATTCAAGCAATGAAGATAAGAACATAAAGAAAAAGAAAAACATAAAAATAATCTAGAAATAATATCATTTTGATGTAATATTTTATACTTCTTTAAAGTCGGTTTGAAGTTGTATGTGACAACACAGAGTTTATTCTTGTATTATTATTTATTAATTATTGTATTATATATTTGTATTACAACTGTAAACCTACTTTCACCCACCCGTGTGTGTGTGTGTGTGTGTGTGTGTTATACTATACATAAGCTTCTCTTTCTAGTTTAATACACATTTATTAATTATCCATGGCAATGAATAATTACACTTATCATGGCTGGGGATCAAACCTACAATCCAAGTGCTCTTGACCGGAAATCGAACTCAAGACCCTTTGATCCACAGGCCAATGCTCTAACCGCTGAGCCAAATCAGCCAAAGCCAGTTTGTTGTTATTAACAGTGCTCCCATAAGCATTCTTGTAGAGAAATATTTACACATTTTTCTGATTGTTTCTTTAGGAAAAAATCAAGGAAATAGAATTGCTGGGTTGATAGAGGAGAGGGGATGATTGGTAAATTAAGGTTGTAGGAGAAGGTACATCAGAGCACAGAATAGGGTTACCAGATGGGGCACCTTTTCTACACTTTCCCTTGGGACAAGGTGGATAAAGGAACTAACTGGTGGATAAAGGAATGGTGCCACCATTCAATCTGTAAGTAGAGTAGCAGGAAATCATTTCCTGAAAGTGAAAGAAGAGGTGATGATGTAGTGATCCTGAGGAGAGCAAGGGAGGTTTAAAATTGCAGCTGTGGATTATGGAAGAGGGTACTGAATTGAAAATATATATATATAGTATTGATAATAGATGTGTTTGTAATGGCACCAGTTTGCACATCTGTGTAACTGTTTACCAGCGACACTCCGTGGCCAGGTTTGGAGTTTTGTAGTAGAAAGGCAAAAGAGCAGATGAGTTCAGGATGAGAGAGACAGGCAAAGGGTAGATAAAATGATTAACCATTAGGTCCAAACTGCATAAGGAATGAAGGGAAGACAGGAAGGTTAGATAGGGAGGAAATGCCTGTCTTAGAATCAGGACTCAGTGAAGTGGAGGAAATGCATAAAACAACTAGGATAGATTATAGACAGAAAGCAGAATATTTTAATTTAGAATTTCGGAGGTGAAATAGTTCCCGCATGATAACAAGAAGCAGGGTATACCCTTGGAAGTGTATTAAAAAACATTGTGCAACTTTGTCTTAGCTGCTTCTATAGCAGAAGATTGTAATCAGTAGTATGGAAAACTGAAATTTATAGTATGCCTATTTGTAAACTTAGAAAAATAAACTTATTTTTAATGAGATTTAATGTGCATTCTAGAAAATTTGGAATCCGATTTCTTTGGGAAGCTCGAACCTAGATTTTCAATCATGCGAAATGTGAACAACCAAGTTCTCTTCATTTACAAGGGAGAGTATCCTGTGTTTGAAGATTTGACTGATTCTGAGTGTCAAGGTATTTTTTAAAAAATATTTACAAACATAGAAATGACAAGCTACTTTTTGTTCCATTTTACTGCCTACATTTTTCTATGACAGACCTAGTCCTTAAATAAAAAGTCATAGCAAGAGTAATAATGCCCTGGCTGGTTTGGCTCAATGGTTAGAGCATCAGCCCGTGGTCCAGAGAGTCCTGGGTTCGATTCCCACTAAGGGCACGTACCTTGGTTGCAGTTTATCCCTGGCCCTGGATGGGGTCATGTGGGTGGCAGCCACTCTATGTGTCTCTCTCACATCGATGTTTCTCTCTCTCTCTTCCCCCCTCTCTCCCTCCCACTCTATCTGAAGATAAATGCAGAAATGTCCTCGGTGAGCATAAAAAAAAAAAAAGTAGTAATTTTACTTACAAGAAACTTTATTGGGTATCTAAATATTTTAGTTGGGATGAAAAATTAATACAATAAAGATGTTGCTGGAGGTTGGGAGGAGGACAACAAAGGTAAATGGGATCAAATACATGGTGATGAAAGACTAGGTTTCAGGTGGTGGGCACACAATACAGAGTACAGATATCATATTATAAAATTATACAACTAAAGTTCATATAATGTATTAACCAATACTACCCCAATAAATGTAATTTTTTTTAAATGTTAAAGATAATGCTAGGTGTCCTGCCACTCTGGGCCTACATCTGGATCACCAGTTCCTTCACTGTAATTGCATTAACTCTATAGAGTTGGATTCTTAATACCGCTGGTTATAACTGAAGTTGCTGATAGCATTTCAAAATTCAAAATTAATATGCAAGCATTTGAAATAAACTTGTCTTCCACCAGAAATTTAGAGGGTCTCAGAAAATGAATGAATTTACTGTGCTTTTAGGTAGAGTTAAAACAATAAATGTGCACTGTTGAAAAATCCTGAATTTTTACCTAACAGGTAGATTTTTAATATTGTATTTAGCATTTAAAAGTTGAAGGCAGTCTTTTAGAGTTCAGAATATCTCTTAAACACTCAAAAAGTTGTGTTTTTGTGTTGTAACACATTTTTAAATTGTTTTAAAGTGTGTGTGAGCAGCTGTGCATAGTCTCCAGCTGACCAGCTGAATCTGAGTGTGGGGTTGGTAACGGATCTATTAGGGGTTAACTTTTGGCTAATTTCCATAAATACTGATTTGCAAAAACTCTTCTAACTAATGTTATTATTTATTAATGTTTATTTCAGATAATGCATCCCAGACTAAAATTATCATGTATATATATAAAGATAGCCTCACTAGAGGTATGGCAGTAACCCTCTCTGTGAAGTGTGGTGACATTTTTACTCTCTCCTGTGAGAACAAAGTTATTTCCTTTAAGGTAAGACTGAACCTAAATTTGTTTTAGTCATATACATGTGGGAGATTGGAAAACATAAATATCCTCAGTCCAAATTTTTATCTAGAACAAGGATGGCAAGAAGCAGAGAACCATTAAAATCATTAGTAAAATCATTGTCCAACTCTTTAACCTATCATGTTTTTGCTAAGTCTACCATAGGGAGAAAGAGGTACACTTGTTTAATGACCTGGGTCTTCTGAATAATCCATCTGTAGATAAATCATAATATATAGGACACATATAAATCATTATGTTTATTTGAGAATTGCATGACTTTCCAAAATGTTTTGCTAAAACAGAATGAAGCTAATTATCCTTCTGTAAACCCTCCACGTACTTTGTGAATTATGATGATGATATTTAATCCTAATTGTCTTGTTCCTGCTTCTTGGCTGTATTTTTTTTTTTTTTTTATCCTCACCCGAGGATATTTTTCCATTTTTTTGTACAGATAGAGTGGGAGGGAGAGAGAGGAAGGGAGAGAGAGAGAGAAACATCGACTTGAAGGGACACATCGAGTGGCTGCCACCCGCACGACCAACCAGGGCCGGGGACAAACTGCAACCGAAGTACGTGCCCTTAGCGGAAACCGAACCCGGGTCTCTCCGGACCACAGGCCGACGCTCTAACCGCTGAGCCAAACTGGCCAGGGCTTGGCTGTATTCTTCAGCTTTTGGTTGATGTATGTTATTTTTAATGTAAATCTAAGTGAGTAAAATTAACAAAGATTAGCTGTAAAAAAGCAAATCTCAACGCTAAGTATAAATTATTTTTGGCCACTGCTTTTTTCTCTGTTCTCCAATTTTTTCTCTTGTAGAATTTCTAAGTGGGGATTTCCAGTAAACTGCTGTGGGAACTGAAGGTTAGAGTATGACCTTAGTGGACATGCCAAGGGGCAACTTCGAAGGAAGGAAAAAACCACTCTAAAATATAATCCAAGTAAAATCAGTGTGTATACCACAAACACAGCCTCCAAACAATCCCCTAGCCATCCCCTTCCAAACGGAGTGCCACCCTTTTGGGTGGCAATTAGAGTCCCCATTCTCTGACTTGACAAGCGGGAAGTATAGTTATCATAATGGCTTTAGAGGCATGGGAATGGACAGGCAGTGTAGAGAGGATTAAGCATGTTGTTACTTAGTAACAAAATCATAAGAGAAGGAGGGAGATGGCCAAGCTCAAGCCATGCAGGGTAAAGGAAACCTAAGTCAGCTGCAGAGACAAATTCAGAAATGGAAATAAGCCCAACTATAAATGGATTATTGTTGAGAGAGACTAGGGAGTGTTTAAAAAAAAAAAAAAAAAGATAAAAATAATGCAAGAGAAAAGAAAAGAAATAATGCTTGGTAGGAATTGGGGCAAATCAGGTTTAGGGGAGACTGAAGCTTATATAGTTTGGGCAGGAAAGAAAGAAGGAAGGAAGGGAGGGAGGGAAAGAGGAAGGAAGGAAGAAGGCTAGTTTTAGCTCCTGCTCTTTAATCCCTCCCCCTCCCCACTAATAAGGATCTTAACAGTGATTATAAATATAGACTAAATTCTACTTGATAATAAGACACAAATGGCTGCCATTATGTGCTCACCTTTCTGTCTTGGTTATAAGCTATAAAGTCCTAGTACTTATGTTTACCTGTTTTCTTTGGGTAAGAACCTTCATGACACCAAGAGGGATTTCTTCAAGAAGTTACTATTATTGTCTGTTTCTTGTGTATACATCCAGGCATGGTCAGAATTCTCTCAAATTTGCTAGTGCACTTGGAAAAGGGCAAAAAAAAAAAAAAACAACCCACAGATTTTAGGTCAAGCTTAACTGTCTCTGGGTTCAGATTCAACCCCTCTTGATATAAACAATCCCTTAGGTCCCTGGAACATTCAAGTTTCATTCTGTAGGGCTGTTTCCATTTCCATTTACTGTGCACCTTCTCTATGGTGGCTATAAATAATCAACATCAACACCAAGGAAAGCTATTTCCTTGCCTCTCTTCTGAAATGTCACATTGAACTATGGTTAAAGACAGCCTATTCTACCTACTCATACCCCATTTTCAACTACAACTTTCCATGCCAGGTTTGAACTAAAAGGTTCATCTCCCTCTAATATTTGTAGAGCTTTTGAAGTTTTGGCTAAGGATTATTTCTCACGTATACATTAGAGTAGCTTAGTCCCAACTTGGCTCCACAGCTTAAGGTTTCTTTCTAAATTCTGGGGTACTGTAGACAGCTGCAGAAATATGTCAGTGGGAGAACTAGTTTAAAGCACGATCAAATTAGGACACCCAGTTATTGAGAAGGAACAAAGGTTAAGAGTTATGACTATAAATTCCATAATTGATTGAGAAGTTGGGAGGTACCCAGACTTCTTTCAGGCATCTTAGAAAGAAGCTGGAATGCTATTTTGGATCTGGAGGTATCTCTGTTAGTCCTTAGTTAGGATCATGAGAATTTTTGCTACTGCGGGATCAAAATTAAGTTCAAACATCTACTGGTTCCAGGATTAACCTGGAAAGAACCTTGGGTGGTCCTCAGATGTTCTAGTCCATCATGAAAAGTAGGTATGCTATATTTTTTTTAAAAAAAGTATAGGCAGTATTGTCAGTTAGGTGACCAGCAGTATTATTGTTTCAAATGTTCTAGGCATTCTTGAGAAAAAACGTATTTCATGTCTGAAAGATATAGGAATCAGAATTTGGCCTTCCAGGGCAGGGCCCAGCCAACAGACTAATTTCAGAATAGAAATTCAGGACTTGGTAGGAAACAGTCAAAGGCTGCTGACTAAGCCAATACGGTAAAGAATCACGGACTTAGCCCTAGAACAGCGGCAGTGCGTCTATTCGCAGCAAGTTTCAGTTCTGGACTGCACTGCAGGAAGGGAGAAGCCGAGATTCCTGCCACTTCTGCCTCTTTCACAGTTGGCTCCAAACTAGAGTTAGGCTAGGCTATGGCTGGAGGTCACCAATGTCTTTATCTCTGAGTGGCTGGAAAAGACAGGAATTGGCATTAGCCCAAAAAGGCCGTGGTCTTCGCTAGATTTCTACTCCATCTGGAGCGATGGGAGAGGAGAGAAGGAAGCTATGCAACCAACAAATTGGGAAAAACTAAAGAGGTAGACCTGAATGTGCATTCCACGGTGAGAACAACCCAAGTGGACAAGGAGAATAGATTAGGAATTAAAGGGAAAGATCAGTATTCCTATATGCAGAGTTTTGTTTTTCTTATTATCTTGTGAGAATAAAAACTTCTTTAGTTCTGTGCAGTAATATACTTCAAAATACGTGGCACATATTCTAATTGTTTGTGTTTTAAATAATATTATTTTTTTTTCCTCTGTAGAGAATGAGTCCTCCTGATAATATCAATGATGAAGGAAATGACATCATATTCTTTATGAAAAGTATTCAGGGACATGACAATAAGATGCAGTTTGAGTCTTCATTGTACAAAGGATATTTTCTAGCTTGTGAAAAGGAGCAGGATCTTTACAAACTCATTTTGAAAGAAAAAGACCAACATGGGGATGACTCTGTAATGTTCATTGTTCAATACAATAAATAGATATTAAAATTTTGTAGTTTGAATTTTTTGAGTTTTTGTTTTTCAGAAATGTTATAATTTTCAGAAATGAGTCTATAACTATAGTGATGAAATAAAATAAATAATGGTCTCAAAAGATACCACTAAGAAATAAATAATAACCTTTCACAAAATTGAATTTACTCCCCCTTTCACAGATAAATAAAATATTTGCATAATGTAAAAAGAATAAATAGTTTGAAAACACATTCTGCATTGTTAATTGGAACATAGATTGTACTCAACAAAAGTGTTTTGAATCTTTTGGGTTATGATGAAACGTACTGATATTTGAATTTTCTAATTGCTAAGACTATCATTAAAACCATCAAAATTATAAAGAGACCACTTCAGTTGACTAATTTCTGTATTTCTTCCAAAGTCAGAATGTCTTTAAAAGTCAGATTGATCCTGCAACATAGACAAAGCATTATATACTCTGAGCAAGTGGTACTCGACCCAGGAATGCAAATGCTTTAATAATCTAAAATCAATTAATGTAATATGTCATATTAATAAAGGGTAAAAACCACACAATTATCTCAGTAGATGCAAGAAAGCATTTGCCAAAAGCCAATACATAATAAGAATTCTCAACAAACTTGAAAGAGAAGAGAACTTTCTCAGTGTGATAAAAGGCATTTGTGGAAAATCTACCACTAATATCATACTTAATGGTGAAAAAATAATGCAAGAAGGTCAGCTCTTACAACTTCTACTCAATATCCTGGATCTTATAGCCAATGCAATCACAAAGAAAACAAAAAGACATCTAGATTAAAGAGGAAGAAGTAAAATTGTCCTTATTTGAAGACAACATGATTCGGTATGTGGTGCGCACGCACACAAACCTCTATTAATATTAAACAAGTTCAGCCCTGTCTGGTTTGGCTCAGCAGTTAGAGCATCAGCCTGCAGACCAGAGAGTCCTGGGTTTGGTTCCCATTAAGGGCACGTACCTCGGTTACAGTTTGTCCCCGGCCTCAGTTGGGGCCCTGTGGGTAGTGACCACTTGATGTGTCTCTCTCACATCAATGTTTCTCTCTCTTTCTTAGCCCCCTCTCTCTGAAGATAAATGCAAAAATGTCCTCGGATGAGGATAAAAAAATTAAATTAAACAAGTTCAGCAAGGTTGAATAAAACAATTTCATTCACAACAGTACTATACTAAAAATAAATTTAAATATAAAAATAAATTTAGCACCCTGGCCAGTTTTCTCAGTGGTTAGAGCATCAGCCCACAGTCTCAGGTTCGACTCTGGTTAAGGGCAGGTACCTTGGTTGCAGTTTGGTCCCCGGCCCTAGTTGAGGTCATGCAGGAGGCAACCAATCAATGTGTCTCACACTGATATCTCTCTCTCACTCTCCTCCCTCCCACTCTATCTGAAGATAAATGGAAAAGTATCCTCAGATGAGGATCATAAAAAAATAAATAAATAAATTTAACAAAAGAAGTGCGAGATTTGTACAATAATGTTTTCAAAACATTGCTGTGGGAAATTGAATATGATCTAAATAAATGAAGAGACACTCCACACTCGCTGGTTGTAAGACTCAGCATCATTACAACGACAGCTCTCCCCAAACTGATCTATGGATCCAACTCAGTCTCCATCAAATTTCTAGCAGGATTTTTTGCAGAAATTGACCAACTGTACCTAAAATGTACATGGAAATAAAAAAGACACCGAATAGCCAAGATTGTTTTGAAAAAGAAAGAAGTTGGAAAACTTTCATTTTCTAATCTTTAAACTTACTATAAGTGATCAGAACTGTTTGGTACTGACATAAGAATAAACATAGATCAATGGAAAAGATTTGAGAGTTCAGAAATCCTTATGTTTATGGCCAGTTGATTTTGACAAAGGCAGGTTGGTGGAAAGGAGAGTTTTCAAGAAAAGGTGCTGGGGCACTTGGATATCCACATTCCCAAAAAATGGACATAGATTCTTAACTTACACTATACAAAATTAATTCAAAATAAATCATAGACATTAATTAATGTATGCTAAAGCTATATACTTTTTAGAATAAAACAAGAGAAAATGTCAAGACCTTGGATTAGGCAAAGATTTTTTATACACAACCAAGAAGTATGATCCATTAAAAAATTGATAAATTGGACTTAATCAAAATTTAAAATTTGGGAGTGAAACTGGGTGAAGGGTACATAGGATCTCTCTGTACTATCTTTGCACCTCCCAGGGACTCTTTAATTGTTTCAAAATTGGAAATTTTTTAGAAACAACTTTGTACTCCAAAGGCATAATTAAGAAAATTAAAAGACAAACCAGACTGGAGAAAGTATTTATAAATTACATATATGCAAAATAGATTATTATACAAAGAATGCTTAAACTCAGTAAGAAGAAAATCCAGTTTTTTAATGGGCAAAAGATTTGAATAGACGTATCTCAAAAAATGTACAAGTGGTTCATAAGCACATGAAAAGATGCTCAGCATCACTAGTCATTAGAGAAATGCAAATCAAAACCACAGTGAGTTACCATGCCACGGCCACCACGGTGATTATGATCAGAAAGACATAACAACAAGTGGCCAAATGTTAAGAAATAGGGATTCTCATACATTGCTGATGAGACTGTGAAAAATCACAGCCACTTTGGAATATTTTTTTCAGTTTCTTAGAAGGTTAAATATAAGTTTTTCATATGAGCCAGCAATTCTATTCCTACATATCTATTCAAAAGAAATAAAATATATGTTCACACCAAGATTCATACAGTAATGTTCATATCAGCATTATTCCTAATATCCAAAAAGTGGAAAAAGCCCAAATACCCCTTAGCTGGTGAAGGAATAAACAAAATGTGGTATATTCATAATGGAATACCAATACTAATTAAAAAGTGTAAAATACAGATACATGCTGCAACATGAATAAACTTTAAAAAGCTGCTAAATTAAACAAGAAAAACACAAAAGATTACATTTTATGTGAAATGTCCAGAAAAGGAAAATCTATAATGACAGAAAAGTAGATTCATGTTTGCCTAGGGTTGTGGTGGGAATGGGGATTAATTGTAAACAGATATGAAAGATCTTATTGGAGAAAAGAAAATGCCCTAAAACTGGATATGGTGATGGTGGTACAATTAGAAAAATTTACTAAAATTATTGAATTGTATGCTTAAAATGGGTAAATTTATGCTATACAAATTATACCTTAATGAAGTTTTTTTTCTTTGAAGAGGTTACTAGTCAGCTGTGTGTACAAGAGTCTAATATCAAGATGATTTTATGATAGTCATTAACAATAGACATTCAACGGGCAACCCAGCATAGAAGTTACTTTGTACCCTGGCAAAACCCAAGGTGAGTAGAAGCCTTTCTGACAACTTTATTTTTTGCAATTTTTATTAATTGATTTTTGTTAGAGATGTTTATCCCTTCTCCCTGCTAGACCCTCCTCCCCACCCCCCTGCCCCAGCGTTGATGTCTATGTCCACTGGTTATGCATGCATGCATATAATTTAATACAGTGATTTTTAAAAGAGAAAAGAGTTAGTTTGATGAGCAAATTCTTATATTAACTTTTATTGTTTTATCCTTACTATAAAATTAAGACATATTTGTCATAGAAATTTTTTTCTTTATTAATTTTTAGAGAGAGAGGAAGGGAGAGGGAGAGAGAGACAGAAACATTGATGAGAGAGAAACATCAATTGGCCGCCTCCTGCATCCCACCCCCCAACCCCCCAACCCCCAGGATTGAGCCCACAACCTAGGCATGTGCCCTGACTGGGAATCGAACCAGCAACCTCCTAGCGCATGGGTCAATGCCCAACCACTGAGCCACACTGGCCAGGCTGTCGCAGAAACTTTAGAAGATACAAAGAAACTATTTTAAAAAACATAAATTGAGTAAGTTTGAGGATTTAATCGGCTTTATTCAGTGATTCGTTAATCAGGTAGCTCCCCATCTAACAAAGAGGAGCTGTACAAAATTGAAGGCTTTTATAGGTAAAGCGGGCAGGGATGGGAAAGAGCAGCTTGCCTCCCGTTTCTGTGAGGTCTAGCAGGTGGATTGCCTCACCACTGCTGACTTGAAATTCCGAATGGGCTGAGGGAGGCTAGAATTGCAAGCCAGGTACTAAGTCTTTGTTTGGTGACATGGGCTTAGCACAGTTGACTCCATTTGAGGCTGTTCTCTCTCTCTTTCTCTTTTTTAACAGAAGAAAACTTAAACCGTATATCCTTCTCTCTTCAGTTAACAATGTTTGACATTTTTGTATAAGACATATTCTTGCCCTGGCCGGTTTGGCTCAGCGGTTAGAGCGTCGGCCTGCGGTCCAGAGACACCTGGGTTCGGTTCCCGCTAAGGGCATGTACCTCGGTTGCAGTTTGTCCCCGGCCCTGGTTGGTCATGTGGGTGGCAGTCACTCGATGTGTCCCTTTCACGTCGATGTTTCTCTCTCTCTCTTCTTCTCTCTCCCTCCCACTCTATCTGAACAAAAAATGGAAAAATGTCCTCGGGTGAGGATTAAAAAAAAAAAAAAGACATATTCTTTATTAATTTGAGAGAAGAAGGGGGGCCCTGACTGGTTTGGCTCAACAGGTAGAGCATCAGCCCATGGGCCAAAGGGTCTCAGGTTCCATTCCTGGTCAAGGGCATGTACCTGGGTTGCAGGTTCAATCCCAGCCCCAGTCAGGTTCTGTGGGAGGAAACCAATTGATGTATCTCTCTCACATCAATGTTTCTCTCTCCTTCCCTCCCTCCCTTCCATTTTACCTAAGAATCAGTGGGAAAATGACCTCTGGTGAGAATTAACAAGAAGCGGGGAAGAGAGAGAGAAACATTTATGTGAGGGAGAAACATTGATCATTTGCCTCCCAACTAGGGATCAGTTGTGTCCCAAATAGGGATCGAACCTGCAACTTTTTTCATATATGGGATGACACTCCAACAAACTGAGCCACCCAGCCAGCTAAAACACGCTTCACCTCTGTCCTAGACAGAATCTGGTATACCT